TGAGCACTGCCTACTCTAAGGGCAGGTGACCTGGATGGAATAGGGACAGAGAGGGCTGCTGCCACTGCTTGCTGCTTTCTGCCTGCCCTGTTTTGCCATGGACCACTTCTCTTCTGTGATGTCCCTCTGTCATGCCACCCTCCCTGCCTCTTGCAGCCAGCTAATTAGAAACTGAAACCTTTACAAACTGAGCTAACACAAACCTTTCCTCCTCTGACTCTGGGTGTTGGATGTTTCAGCAATGAGAAAGGTTAACTAAGACACTGTCTCAAAAAAAAAAAAAAAACAAAAAACAAAGACTATGCAGCTCCATGACTCCCTACCGTCTTAGGAGGCCTCAGTATCCACTCTGAATGTTAAGCTGATACCGAAAGCCAAGTTTAATCACCTGGTGCAGTTTACAGTTGTCATCTCCCACTTCCTGGCTGTGACTGGCCTAGATGGGTGCTTAATGCAACCACCCTCTGGGGGACACCTAGGCCCCTGGGGCGGCCAGACATGGCCCGACTCATCCTCACCCCTTGTGGACTGCCCAGGCACGCCCAGTGACGTCTCAGTCATGGTGTTGTTGTAGGCAGCTAAATTAGACAGAAATATTATAGGCAGTCAAGAAAGGGCCAGGGGGGCCGGGGAGATAGCTCAACAGAATAAACACTTGCCTAGCAAGTGCAAGGGCCTGTGTTCAACCCCCAGTTCTGTTGGGGGAAAAAAAAAAAAAAAAGACATGGCAGGCCTTCAAGGAGACAATATGAGGGCTGGGGAGATGGCTCAGTAGAACAAGTTGCTTCCTTGGCAAGTGCAAGGGTATGGGTTCAATCCCCGGTTTTGAAAAAAAAAAAAAAAAAAAAAAAAGGAGACAATATGGAAGACAAGATGACCTTGCTGCTTTTTTTTTTTTTTTTTTTTTTTTGTGGTACTGGGGATTGAACTCAGGACCCTGCGCTTGCCAGGCAAGCACTTATTCTACTGAGCTTTCTCCCCAGCCCCAAACTTGCAACTTTGGAAGTAACAGACACTTCCACTGTGGGCCAGAGCTCAAGAGGGATTGAAATTCTAAATGGGTGGCAATCACCTTGAAAGAACCAGAGTCACTAACCCAGATACTAACAGGAAGAGCCTCTGTTCTGTATTCATGCCTGCTTGCTTTGTGACTTGCTTCCCCCTTTGGTCCCAATTTAATCTATTTTACCTGAGACAACTGTACTTGTAGTCTTATTGGCTGACCATAATTTTGCCCTATCTCATGTGTGAGTTACTATGTTTTCCACCTTAAAGCCACCTCACCACATGGTTTTGCTCTATAAAAATCCCTAGAAACAGCAGATTCCCAGGCAACCCACTTGGGTCCACCTTCTGTCCTCCAATAAATGATATTCTGTTCTTAACCTCTGTTGTTCCAAAAATTCATTCTTCAGTTTGAGAACATGAACTGGGCCCAGATACCTTTCAGGCTGGGAGTTTCATTCCCCTATATCAGTGTCACCCATCGGTGGCATGCCTGCTTGTCCTGAATCCACCAACTGGAGCTCTGTTGGGGGAAACCCACTTGGGTCATACCTGGGTCCCCAAGAAAGGCCTTGCTTGTTCACAGGTCAATTGTTCTCTTGTTCCCTGCTTCCTGGCTGCATGTCTCACATAGCTGCCCATTCCAATGGGCCCTGTAAGGCCTGCAGCCCTCATCTCTCCAGTTCCTGAGTAACTGGGAGCTTTGCTGTGCCTGGGTGCCATCTCAACCTAACTCCACTCCTGGTCAGGACTCTTTAGAGGGGTAAACTTGGACACACATCAGCCATCTCTCAGTACAAAGAAGTCCCCCATGGAGGGTCATGGAGTCTCTTAGGGGTAGGGAGAATAAAGGAGCAGCCTGTGAAGGGCACACTGTAAATGTCTGTGACCAAATGCCCTGGAACCCTGCTGGGCAGGGCCTGAGTGACAGCCATTCTCCAGAGATCCCAAGACCACAGGTGAAGAAACAGGACCCCCCCATCTCCACCCACATTTTTTTTTTCTTTTTTTGGCGGAACTGGGGATTGAACTCATGCCCTTGTGCTTGCCAGGGAAGTGTTTATTCTACTGAGCCATCTCCCTGGCCCTCTACCCACGGTTTCATGTTGGTGTCTTTATTTTGTGTACTGTTATTCTAGGTCAACCATGGTTCAAATATTAAATGGACACCTCACACCACACTGGCCCTGCCCCCAGGCCCACTGAGCTGGTCATTGGGACCAGGTATGTTGGTGCAATCCTATAATCCCAGTGCTGGGGAGGCTGCAAACAGGATGATCACTGAGTCCAAACTGCACAGTGAGACCCTGTACCAAATACATTAAAAAAAAAGGAAAACTCCAGAAACAGTAACTGGGAAATTTTAAATAACTTTTTTATATTGTAGTAATTGTTCTATGTTTTTGATTGAAATATTTGGGCCAGGCATCAGGGGGATAGCTCAGTGGAATAAGTGTTTGCCTGTTAAGTGCAAGGTCCTGAGTTTGACCCCCTGGTACCACCAAAATAAATAAATAAATAAATAAATAAATACATACATACATACATACATACATACATACTTGGGACAGAACCAGAGATCAATGAGTTACATCCACTGGCCTTTTTATGTACTTATTTGGCACAGGGTCTCACTACACTGCTTGGATTAGTGATCCTCTTGTCTCAGCCTCCTCAGTGCTGGGATTATGGGTGTACGACACCACACTATTTCAGGGTCCACACAGCACGAGTTGCAGGGGATCGAACTCAGGACCTTATGCTTATCAGGCAGGTGCTTAGACAGCCTAGCTATCTCCCTAGCCCCTTATTTAAAGACAGGGTCTCATTATGCAAGTCAGCCTGGCTTTGAACTCACTTTGTAGCCCAGGCTGGTCTTGAACTTACATCCAGTGTGAGCTCATCCCAGTCCTGGGCTGAGCACCATAAATCAGGCACCGTGAGACAGGCACACACCACGGCCTCATCATTACAGAGGCTCAAGTGAGACTGCCTCCACGAGCCTGAACGCCCAGCTCGGTTCTATGATCAGCACTGCTACCCTCACTCTCCCTCGGCCTCATGAGGACGTCCTAGGACCAGGTGACCAAAAGAGGAAAAGAAACCAGACCAGGACACTGGTACAACCCAACTCACAAGTGGTCCTCAGGATGGCGGGCAGGAAACCCTAAGGAGGGGGTGGAATTCTGAGTGGTGCATCCGGGGGCTCAGGCTACGTGGCGCCAGCAGGGCAGCCCTGCACGGAAGGAGCCCCCTGGATAGGGTTGAAGGCTGAATGATTTCTTCTTAAAACTGGAATTGAGGTGAGGGCCCCTGCTCTCACCACTTCTGATCCTGGGTCAGAGGTTTAAGATCGGAGTAGGCAAGAAAAAGAACAGTACAGGTCAGAAAGAAAGAGTAAGGCTGCCTTTATTTGTAGACTAAGTGATTATGATGTAAAAACTTGCAAAGAATCCAAAGTAATAAGCTAAAGCTATTAGAATTAAGGAGTTTAGCAAAACTGCATAGTCCAATGTAAAAACAACTACACTTGAGATTTTAAAATACTTTCAAGAGTTAAAAATGAGAAAAAATACCTAGGGTAAGTTTAACAAAATATTTGTAACTTGTACAATGAAAGCTAAAAAAAATTAAGAGAAATTAAATCGAGAGAAATCAGTAGGGAGATACACTACACCACACTCAGGAGCTGAAAGAATCTGCACTGTTGGGACTTCAGTTCTTCCTCGGTAGTCTAGAGCCAGTGCATCCCCAACCTAAATTACCTCAGGCTCTTTCTTTTCCTAAAAATTAGTAAGTCAATTCTAAATGTTACATAGGAAAGAGATGGGCGAAAGAGTGCCAAAAAAGGTGCCAAGGCATTTGATGGGGGGGGAGAATGGGTCAATAGATGGTCCTAGAATATTTGGATATGTAGGAAAAAAAGCAAATCCTTTTCTTTATCATATATAAAAATTAACTCAAAATGTATCACTAACTGTAAAAGGGAGAACTATAAAATTTCTAAAGAAAAACATAGATGACCTTTGTGATATATGGGTAGGTAAAGACTTCTTAGGATACAAATCATTAAAAGAATTTTTTTTTTTTAAGTTTTTACCTATTTGGTACAGGGTCTCACTACACAGCTCAGACTCATAGTGATCCCACTGTTTCAGCTTCCCCAGAGCCGGGATTACAGGCGTGCATCACCATGCCAGCTTGGTGTGCTCAGGGTGGGACAGGCACCACGAGGCACTGGGGATCAAACCTGGGTCCTTGAAGTTGCCAAAGCAGGAGCTTAGACCACTGAGCTATCTCCATGCCCCAAAAGAATTTTTTTCCTGGTACCAGGGATTGAATTTAGGACTTGCGCTCGCCAGGCAGGTGTTTATCCTACTAAGCCATCTCCCCAGCCCCTTCAAAAACAAAATGTTTGATACACTGGATTGCATCAAAATGGAATATTTATTTTCTTCAAAAGACAGGATTAGGAAAATTATCTGACAAAGAGCTTACACAGACTGGGGAGACAGCTCAGTGGATTAAGTGCCTGTCTGGCAATCACAAGGTCCTGAGTTCAATCCCCAGTATCAAAAAAAAAAAAAAAAAGAGCTTGCAATAAATAATTTTATTGAAAGTCCTGCTCTGTACTCCAGGCTGGCTTCAAACTTGTGGCAAGCTTCCTGCTTTAGAGTTCCAAATTATGGGATCACAGCATGTGCTACCATGCCTGGCCAGAACACAACTTAAATAATAAAAGGCCACTTAAGCACTTTTGAATGTCAATATATTTACTACAAGTTTTAAAAGTGTTTTGAGACAGGGTTTCAGTATGTAATTAAGGCTGGCTTTGAATTCACAGTGATCCACCTGCCTCAGCCTCTCGAGAGCTGGGGTTACAAGCATGCACCACCATGCTTAGCTAGGGCCAGGGATACAGCTCAGTGGTTAGATTCCTGGTGCCAAAAAAATAAATTAAATAAATAAATAAATAAACCCCACAAATTTCATGCTCAGATAGAAAATTTTTTTTACATGAGCAAAGTATTTCAAAAGTCTCCAAAGATGCGCACAGGTGGTCAATATGCACACGAAGAGATTAGCAACACGAGCGTTATGGTGTGTCTGGATGTCCTCCCAAAGCCTCATGCATCACGAGGCAGACTTCTAGAGTTTGAGATTGACTCTCGGTCCAACGCTGGGATTATGGCTGTGAGTGCTATAGCTGCCCTGGGCCAGGCAGCCTGCACGCAATACCAGGAGGGAGAGGGGCTTGCTCTCCCTCTTTGCTTTTTTTTTTTTTGTGTGTGTGTTCTTATTGATTCTGCTGTTTTCCTCCATCATGCACAGTTGTCCTTGGAGCCAACTTGTTATGTATGGACTGAAACATCCAAAAAACCTGAGCTAAATAAAACTTTCCGTCCTTAACCTTAGGTGGGGGTGTTTTTGCCTTAGCAACAAGAGAAAAGTAACCAAGATAGTGACTTGGCAACAAGTGCAAATTAAAACTACAATGAGATACTGAATCACTACACACCTATTAGAATGGTTACACCAAAAAGGATTGACAGTGCCAAGTACAGGATACCTCTAAGGTCACAGGTTTGGATACAGGTCACTGCAATAAAGTAACTACGACAGTAAAGCAAGTCATGCATATTTTTAAACTTCATGCATAAGAAAGTTATGTTGGGGCCAGAGAGATAGCTCGTTGGAATAAGCGCCTGCCTGGCAAGTTCAGGGTCCAGAGTTTGACTCCTGGTACCCTTCTCACCCCCCAAAAAAGTTATGTTGCTGGGTGTGGTGGTGCCTGTCTATAATCCTAGCACTTGTGAGGGTGAGGCAGGAGGATGGCCATGAGTTTGAATTACATAGTGAAATCCTATTGTTGTAGAAAGCTGAATTACATAGAAACATTATAGGCAGACAGGGCCAGGCCCTCAGGGAGACAAGATGGAAGACAGGTGACTTTACAACTTGGAAGAGACAGACACTCTCATTTGGGCCACATCTCAAGACAAAAGTGGAAACACAGCTACGTAATTCCCTAGGGATGGGCATCAGGGATTGATATTGTAAACAGGTATCCACCACCTTGAAAGAGCCCAAAGGAGTCACCAGTCCAACCCCCAAAAGGAAGAGACCCTGTCCCATGTTCATGCCCACTTCCTATGTGATTCCCTTCCCCATTTGATACTGGATTTAATCAATTTTACCTGATTACCAATGGTCCTTGTTTTTTTTCTTTTTTAATGTGGTACTAGGGATTGAACTCAGGACCTTGCGCTTGCCAGGCAAGTGCTTATTCTACCGAGCTATCTCCCCAGCCCCCATCCAATGGTCCTTGTAATCTCAGTTGACCACAGCTTTGTCTCATCTCATGCCCACCTAACCGAGTTCCCATGTCTTCTTCACCTTAGTCCCGCCTCACCACATGGTTTTCCTCTATAAAAGTCCTTAGAAGAGACAGCTTCCTGGGGACCACCCACTTGGAGGCCCCCTTCCTGTCCCTCTCTGGGACAGGAGCTTTCTTTCTCCCCAATGAAATCTATTCTGCTTATAACCTCTGTTTTTTCCTAAAATTAATTCTTCAGTTCTAGAGAACACGAATTTGTCCCACGTACCTTCTAGGTTGGGAGATCAGTTTTTCTCCTTGTGTCATTGGAGGTTTCCTGCATCACTATCTCAAAAAACCAAAGAAAAGCGTGATGTGGTGGCACACGCCTGTAATTCCAGTACTAAGCTGAGGCGAGAGGGAGGATCATTTGAGAGTCTGAGACCAGCCTCAGCTCCAAAGTGAGCTCAAGGCCAGCCTGAACTGCATAGTAAGACCCTGTGTCAAAAAGAATCCCCCCACCAAAAAAAAAAAAAAAAGTCAGCATATAATCATAGCATTCTGTCAGTAATGTGACTACCTTGATTAAAAATTATTTTATTCCCCAAAAAACACTTACAATCATCAGCGGTATTGGAAAAATGCACTGACAGACTTGCCTGACACAGGACTGCCACTAAACTTCCAATTTGTACAAAATGCCATGTACGTGAAGCAGAAGAACGTACAGGAAAACAAAGTCATGGACAACCAAAGCTTATACTGTTGGTGAGAACACAAAACTACTACTCGGGAAAAGTTTTCTACAGGTTCAACACACATTTACCATACTACCTGGCAATCCATCTTCTGCATGATTATCCTAAAGGCTTGTGTACAAAATCTTCACAGCAGCCCAAATGGAAACAAACATCAAATGGACAAATATGAGTGCATCCTTCTCAAGGAGTACTAAACAACAAAGAGAAACAAACTACCAATAAAACAATGTAGCTAGGGCTCAACTGGCTGCAGAAGGGTGCTGAAAGCTGCTCAGGGCAGTGACTCTGTGACCAATTAAGCCTACAGTGCCTGGAGAATTCCCATTTCCAGTAGAGGGAGGGAAAGACAAAGGCAGCCCCAAAAACTCTTTCAAGTTGAGGACAGGCTTTGTACTCACTATGTAGCCTGGGCTGGCCCTGAACTTGTGGTGATCTTCCTGCCACAGCCTCTCAAGTGCTGGGATTATAGGCAATGAGCCACCATGCCTAGCTAGTTTTATGTTTTTGTTTTTTCATTTTTGGAGTACTAGGGATCAAACTTGGGATCTTGGGCTTGACAGGCAGGCACTTATGCCACTGAACCATCTCCCTGGCACTAAAATTTTTTTAAAATGTGCAAAATATTGAGCTGTAAGTCTTGGAGGTTTGAGAAGCTGTTGCCCCTGTGGGTCTGCAGGCTGGTGGCTGGTCTGGCACTCTTACAGGGACCACAGTACTGGAAGAAATTCTGGAAGGAAGCAAAGGAGAGTGAGTGCAAACGGGAATGGATCAGTGATATATGTGTTTGTTTATTACCCCACATGACTACAAGTTTCATAAGTAACGGCCCAGCTGGGCGTCATGGCCCATGCCTGTAGGCCCAGCACTCGGGAGGCTAAGGCAGGAAGATCGGTGTGAGTTCAAGGCTACCTGAGCTACATACAAGACCGTGCCTCAGAAACAAACAAAAAGTAATGGGCCTGCTTCGCTTTTGCCTCCCAATCTGGTACAAGTTTCCTTTTGGCCAACTCTAACTAGATTTATACTCTATGGAAGGGGATTCCGGATAATACCCAGTTTGATCAAGCTGAAAATAAGATATAGCTTGATAATTAACAGTGCAGTTTTAGTTATGTGATAATATTCAATCAATAATGGTGCCTTCAAGCAGGCATAGGGGGGCTGGCGAGATGGCTCAGTGGTCTAAAGCACCTACTTAGAACAAGCTTAGCAAAGCACAGGGACCACGGTTCAATCCCCCAGCACCACATGCCAGCCAGCCCCGCCCCCTGGTGGACTGAGCTGTCCACACACACACACACACACACACACACACAATAAATAAATAAGTGTTTGAAAAAAAGCAGGCATAGGGGCCAGGGGTTCAATCCCCACGCCTGCAGTGCCAGCTCTGCCCCCTGGGGCACGCTGAGACAATGGGTGTAGTGGGGCACACCTGTAATCCCAGCTCTTGGGAGCCTGTTTGCAGGCGGATCACCAAGAGTCAGATCTAGTAGAGAGACCCTGAATATCCTGTAGACCCTTCCCTAAAATTAAAAAAAAAAAAAAAAATCAACTAGAAAGAACTAGTCTTATTTGGTACAGGGTCTCACTACACAGCTCGGACTTGTAGGGATCCTCCTGTTTCAGCTTCCTCAGTGCTGCGATTACAGGGGTGCACAACCATGCCTGGTTTTGGTGGTGGACACAGTGGCCCCGGGTGGGGCTGGCACACGTGTGGTATTGGATTAAACCAGGCAGGTACTTAAGACTGTTGAGCTATCTCCTCTGCCCAGTCATATTTCAGTATCAGTGTTCCAACAATTTTATGTGTAATAACTGACATACATATATACATAAAACATAATGTATGTATGTTCTAGTTTGGTGTACTACTAATAGAAATAAAAACTCAATTTAACCAAAAAAATGAACTTAGAGACTTAAGTCATAAGCAGTTTAAAATTTTAATTTCTATCCTCTGTGTATGACCAAAGCATATGATTAGCAAAGAATTTGTAGTTGGAGTAGAGACAGAACTCAGCAGAATATTTAGCAGGCATGAGGCACAGGATACAAATCCCAGCCCCCCAACCTCCAAAGTTTTTGGGTGTTTTTTTTTTTTTTTTTTTTTTTTTGAGATGGGGGTCTCATTGCATAGTAGTTCATGCTGGCCTTGAACTCTCAGCCTGCCTCAACCTCCCAAGAGTGCTGGTATTACAGGGATATACCACCACGCTCAGCCATTTTTCTTTAAAAAATTTTTTTAAATCTTTTACTCATTTGGTACAGGGTCTCCCTATGCATATCAGATTAGTGATCCTCCTGTCTCATCCTCCTCAGCACTGGGATTACAGGCATGCGCAACTATACCCAGTTTCCACGGCCGGCATGAGGATGTTGGGATGTGGTACTGGGGATCGAACTCAGGTCCTTGAGCTTGCCAGGCAGGTGCTTAGACTGCAGAGCTATCTCCCTAGCCCCCATTTTTCTTTTTTAAATTAGGAAATCTCCTTTTATGACTGTCATGAAGCCCTGAGTGAGTTAAGAGCAACAAATTCTGGGGAGGGGGCACCCCCCACTTAGGGTTTCCAGTTACAATAACTGCATTCTCTCTTTTTTTTTAAAAATATATTCCGCTGTTTATTTATTTATTACATTCATTTAGTGTGTGTGTGGCCAGCTCAGCCCACCAGGGGGCGGGGCTGGCTGGCATGTGGTGCTGGAGGATCGAACCGAGGTCCCTGTGCTTTGCCAAGCCCGTTCCAAGTAGGTGCTCTAGACCACTGAGCCATCTCTCCAGCCCCTGCATTCTCTCTTGACCTCAGTCGAAAACCCTGACTCACACAAGGCCATACATATTCCTGGCAAATGCTAACACCAATTATGTAGGAGGCTTTTTCAGAGGTGAAGACAACTTTGTCTTCCCAGAGGACAACTCCTCCACTTGGCTTTATGAGGCAGATAGCAACCCCAAGCCACAGAAGGCCAGGGCCTGCGCAGGCCTCAACAGGCTCTACAAGGAAGCAGGAGAGGAAAGGTCAGCTTCCCACCCTCCATTACTAAAAAATGGCTTCACAGAGTGACAGACACTATTTTCTGCTACACACATACTTTTCCTTACCTGCTTTCAAGGGGAAATAAACATCAGCACCAATCTTCACAGGAAAACCGGACATCCAGGAGAGGAGAGACCCAAATTTCAGTTCCCAGCAAATATAATGTTTCTCTCTTTGGAGAAATATTTAGTTTTTGTTAAGAACATGTGAAATTGGGCTGGGGAGATAGCTCAGCGCCTTAAGTGCCTGCCTGACAAGCTCAAGGTCCAGAGTTCAATCTCCACTACCAGAAAAAAAAAGAAAAGAAAAGGAAAAAACACGTGAAACTGGTGAAACTGCCTGCAAGTGTTTGTCTAGAATAAAAGTGAAATTCCTAAACGCCTCAAGGAAGCACAGCCCCTTGAGGCAAGACTTCCGGCTTAACTGCTAGGCTGGAGTTTCAAGGGTTAATTGCTTGAGTTTTGGGACAACAAGTTGCTAAATCCCCACAGGACAGTTAGGGTCCTTCAGAAAAGACCTCAAGAAACAGGTTTAAATTAGGCAAAGACACCAACCCCTCCTCCGGGGAACCCAGGTTAACCTGATTACACTAACTACATTCTCTATCCTGAAGTGGTGGAGTCTGTAGGAAGAAACTTGGCGTCTAACTGCCCTCGCCTAGGAATGCGTCTGACCCCAAAGTCTCGCCAGCAAAATTCCCTCCTTTCCTAGCCGGGCGTGGTGGGCATACCTGTAATCCCAGTACCCAGGACGCTGAAACAGGAGGATGCCCACGAGTTCGGGGCCCGCCAGGGCTAGAGAGAGATGTCAGGTCCAGCTTGAACTACATGACGAGTAGCGATCAAGGTAGGTTTAGAAACCCGTGTCCCTTCAGGCGGGTCACCTTTGGGTCCCCGGGAGAAGGGCTGCTCACCAGGCGCTGCCGCATTTCCAGACTGCGACAGACTACCGCACACGTGGCTCTCGGTGGTGTCCTCCTCGCTCAGTACGTGATACCAGTTCACTCTCGGGACTCCGACACTCCGGGGCCGCCAGAAGGGCTGGACGAGGAACCAGGCTGCAGCAGGTCGCGTTAGCCAGGAGCGTCGGCGTCGCCTCGCAGCCCTGCCGGGTTCGCTCTCACGACGTCCCATACGGAGGGTGCAGGGACCTGGCCCCCGCCACAGCCGGAGCTCAAAGACCCGAACGCCAGTCCCGCCTCTTAGACAGCCGCACACCTTGGGAGATTTCCACCGCACCTGGCCGCGCCCCTCCATGGGGTGGGGGCGGGGCGGAGCGGCGCACTGTGCGATGGCGGCGGGTCCCACGGTCACTTTCCTGGGCGCCCTTGACTGACTCTTGGCGCCGCGCAACCTACCTTGCTACTAGGCAGCCACGGCGCGCGGCGCGTAGAGGCGGGAGGGAGCGGTGACGAGCTTTGGGTTAAGCCAATGAGCACTCAGGTGTCCGACCTTCGCCCAATGACATCCCAGGAAGCAGAAACAGGGTAGGTTACGCTCGGACTGCGCGTGAGACGGAGGCGGGACGCACGGGATCTTTTCCTGCAGCCGGGCCGGGGTCTCCCGCCCGGTGGCTTCTCGCGTGCTTGGCGCCTCAATACCCGTGGCACCCGCCGGCCGCACGAAAGATCGAGGAGGCCGAGCCTGCGAGGGCCTGGTGCATTGGCGCATCTCTCGAGCGGAGACCCTTCTTCAGCAGTTGCCGCGAAGAGACATGAGGGACGGAGTCGGCCCGAGGCTCAGTGAGACGGACACGGGGTCGGCCTGCTAGAGGTTCCGAGAACGGCGCTGCGGCGCGAGGCCGTCTTCCGGAGCGAGGGGCGCGCGGCGGCGGCGGCATGTTCCCGCGGAGGCCGCTGGCCGCCTGGCTGGCGGGGGCGCGGGGCGGGGGCCTGCTGGGCCTGCTGGCCAATCAGTGCCGCTTCGTGACGGGGCTGCGCGTGCGGCGCGCGCAGCAGATCGCGCAGCTCTACGGCCGCCTCTACTCGGAGAGCTCGCGCTGCGTCCTGCTCGGACGCCTGTGGCGCAGGCTGCGCGGCCGCCCGGGCCATGCCTCTGCCTTGATGGCGTCTCTCGCCGGCGTCTTCGTGTGGGACGAGGAGCGAATCCAGGAGGAGGAACTGCAGAGGTGGGTCCTGCGGCTGCTGCTGCGACGGGGGCGGGGGGCGCAGGGACCTTGGTGCCAGCCCTGTGGTCGTTCGGCGTTCTGTGTCTACGCGGTGGCTTTTATGGACAGCAGGGCAATAGATGGATGCTGTTTTAGCAATCCGTTGCATTCCTTTTTTTGTGTTCATTGCTTTTGTCGGGTTGAAAATAAGAACTGCAAGTGTAGGTTAACCTAGGAGGGAGACTTCGAATGGGCAGCAAGCAGGACGCTGAAGGAAACATGGCAAAAAATAAATTAGATGTCAAAAGTGTGGAGCCAGCGCTCACTTTATCTTTTAAGACACCTCGAAAAACGCACATTCAGAACGCATTTGAAACTCGATCTGAAGGTGTCATTTTGCCATTTGCAAGATGACTGCCATCCAGATGGGACTTGGGCGTTGTGAGACATGCCCGGAGAACTCCCTGTCATTGTGACTTGGCGTCTTGGTTGAATTCATAGGCTGGGAGGGATTTTGCCCTGCTTGCACAAACCAATGGCATTTTTAACCTGCAAAGTTAGGTTAGGTTTTTGCTATTTTAGAATTTCGACAATACTGATATTATTAGGCTTTGAAGTTAGTGCTGTCAATAAAACTTCTGTGGGAAAAACCCAATACTGTTTGTTTACTAGATCTGTTAACCTGGGTTTTTTTTGTTTTGTTTTGTTTTTTGTTTTGTGGAACCGGGTATTGGACTCAGGCCCTTTCGCTTTCCAGGGAAGTGCTTATTCCACTGAGCCATCTCCCGGCCCTGTTAACATGTTGTTGAGTCTGAAACTTCATAGTTTTTAGGTAATCTCAGAGAAACTGCTTTAGGATTTGTTTTATAATATCTTTACTTTCTATTATTATTTCAGGACTGGAGATTGAATCCACAGCCTTGCATGTGCTAGGCAAGTGTTGTATCTCCCAGTAAGCGCCTGCCCCCCCCCCCTTATTCTGTTTGAGACAGAGTATCACTATGCAGTTCAGGCTGGCCTTGAGCTCACTTTGTAGTCCATGATGGTCCCGAATTCGCAGTGATCCTCCTGCCTCAGACTCCAGAATGCTGAATAATAATACTTTTTTTTTTTTTAAGGGTAATAGGGCTAGAACTCAGGACCTTGTGCTTGACAGGCGGGTGCTTAGGCTGCTGAGCTATATCCCAGCAAAAATACTTTTTAAAGTGCAATTTAAACTCATAACCAGAAATATCCTTATTATCCAAAACAGGTATCAAAGTATACTGTAATAGCTATAACAGAAAGAGTTTCTGTTAACACTGGTTTTTTTTTGGGGGGCTGGCTCAGCCAAACTGTGGTCCCCTGTGTCTGCTTAGTCCCTCTATTAACATTCTTTTGTGGCTTTGACATTTATACTACTAATCAGTCTCCTGTAATAAATAAAACTGTGAGAAAAAAACTTTTAAATTAGGAAGTGGAGTCAGCTGGTTAAGATAGCTCAGTGGGCTAAACGCCTGCTTAGGCAAGCATAGGGACTTGGGTTCAATCCCCTGGACCACATGCCACACTAGCTGGCAACAGAGTCTAGTCATGGTGGTGTACACCTGTAATCCCAGGCTGAAAGCAAGAGAATCACTATGAGTCCGAGCTGCCTAGTGGGACCCTGTACAAACAAAACAATACATTAAAGAAAAATTGCCAAGCTGGGCATGATGGCACAGGCCTATAAACATTGCAGTCTGGGTGACTTGATGCAGGAGTCCAGCCTAGGGACTTAGGGACTTGGGACATTCTGTCTTAAAATAAAAAAGGCTGAGGCTGTAGCTCAGCGTGGAGGCTCTGGGTTCACATAGTGGTGGAGGTAAGAGAAAAAAATCTTCAGTTGGGGCTGGTTAAGGAAGAAGACAGAGACCAGAAAAGGGTTACCCTGTGGGCAAAAGAAAAAGGAATTTTGGGAGGGTAGGATTTGAGTTGTGTTGGGGCTTAAGTGGAGATAGCACTCTTTGGCTGACTTTGTACATTTATATGGATAATATGTTCTGGAACCTCTTTTAGTAGTTCTTCTATTTGTGGGAGCTGGAAGGGTAACAAGATCGGAGTGAATGTAGTAAGCCCTAATTTAGTAGGCACTATAGACAGGCAGAGGGATCAGACCAGTTAATGATGAAACCAGGTAATTAGTCTGTTTTCCTCTCCTGGGTGTCTCCGAAACATGGGAGCAGTTGAAATACACAGAGGAGTTATTCAGGGTTAACCAGCTTTGGAACTTGAAATTAGTCTGCATAGATGTTGGAGGGGAGGTACTGGGAATTGAACTCTGTTTTTCCCACTGAGATGCAGCCCCAGCCAACAGGCATTTTAGGTCACCTTCAGATGACAACTTGGGGTTATTATAGAGAAGCTCCTCATTTAACGCTTTGTGAAGTTCATGCTTAAATTCAACTTTTCATATATTTGAGGTATAATCAAGTTTTCCATCTTTTTTGTTACTGGGGATGTAACTCAGGATCTTGCCAGGTAGGTGCTTATGCTGCTGAGCTAATTCCCCAGCCCAAGATATTTTTTCTTTTTTTAAAAAAATTTATGTCAATCTACACAGTTTGGACTCATAGTGATCCTTCTGTCTCAGCCTCCTCAGTGCTGGGATTACAGGCATGTGCCACCACACCTGGTTTAGGGGCTGGCCTGGCATGCAGTGCCGGGGATCAAACACAGTTCCTTACGCTTGCCAGCAGGTTCTTACACCCCCAAGCTATCTCCCCAACCCAGTTTTTCTTAAAATGTTTATTCTTGTGATAAGGAGGCAAATTTGCTATTTAACAACTACGTCTTGGTTATACGGTGGTTCCATAGGTCTTAGTTCTTTTTTTTTTTTTTTTTTTTTAATTTTTTTTTTTTTTTTTTTTTTTTTTTTACATTTATTTATTGTGTGTGTGTGTGTGTGTGTGTGTGTGTGTGTGTGGCCAGCTCAGCCCACCAGGGGGCGGGGCGGGCTGGCATGTGGTGCTGGGGGATTGAACCGTGGTCCCTGTGGTTTACTAAGCTTGTTCCAAGTAGGTGCTTTAGACCACTGAGCCATCTCACCAGCCCAGGTCTTAGTTCTGATAGCTTGTTACGTTTCTATTTTTTGTTTTCAGACAGGGTTTCTTTTCCCAATGTAGTTCAGGCTGCCCTTGAACTCACTGTGATCTTCCTGCCTCAGTCTCCCAAGTGCTGAGATTATAGGTATACATCACTACACCCAGTTTATGTTTATATTTTGTTGAGTAAAATTCTGTGGCTACAGGTTAATTTTTTGCTTGATGTTTATTTTTGCTATAGAAAAGTACTTCAGAAGAGGTTCCTACAGCTAGGATAGAACTAAGTGTTGGGTTTGTTTGGTTTTGAGGTAATATTGTGTAGTGTCCAAAATGAAGCACAGTTGCCTCTCAGGTTAAGTACATTTCTTTCGTTAATAGACAAAGATCCTGGTTGTCACATGGTCCCTAAATCACAGCTTTTGGCTCATCCATGGTGTTTTTGTACTAACTTACCCTGTGGATGTTGCTGTCTTGGTTAAAGAGGTTTGAAGTATGCAAGATATCTTTCAGAGTGTGTACTTTAAAATGGCATGTCTTATATTTTAGGTTATACTACAAATCAGAAAGGATCATCTTTCTTTTCTTTTGTGCTAAAGATTTTTTTTCTTTTTTAGAGAGGGTCTCCCTATGCAGTTCAGGTTGGCGTTGAACCCTTGAACTCAACTCTAGTCCAGGTTGCCCTTGATTCTCCTGCCACTCCGCCTCTCAAGTGCTGGAATTACAGGTGTGCACCACCGTGCCCAGTGTATTTAACAAAACCTTAATAAGGAAGATTTGTTAAATTTAAATAGTAGGCTATACAAAGTGATTTTGACTTGGAGCTGAGTTTGGATGTAGAAATTAGATCTTTTGAGGCACGAGGATTTTGAGTTCGGTAATTTAGCAAGACCATGTCTCAAAATAAAATAAAAAGGGCTGGAGTATATAGTGTTTAGTGCTCCCCACATTCCATTCCCAGTACCACCACCACTTAAAAAAAAAAAACAAAAACAAAAACCAAAGAGCAAAAACCCAGATTTTTCAGTACCTGTGCTTCTATTCTCAACGAGTTGGCTCCAATTAAACAATTAAAATAATTTTGCTCACTGTTTCTGGTACAAGTTTTTTTGTGAGCCCAGGAGAAATCTTATGGAAAAATTCAGTAGTTTCTTTCTTTCTTTTTTTATTGCTTTAAAACAGTTAAAAATAATTAGAACAAAAAAAGGAAGGATGTTAAGAAATCTGAAAGTCTTTGGGAATGTATTTTATTTGCTTCCTCCATCCTATTTCAGTTTCAATTCATTGTTCCAGAAATTTGAATAAACAGTGCCAGTAAGGCTTACGGAAAGTTGGACATTTTCCCATTTTTGTATTTTAGAGGCTCTTGAATACATTAATTTTTCCCATATCATTTACTGGATGAATAATCAATGTAAAAGCCCTACAGCTTAAAGGAACTTTTGGGGGGAAACTACTGTCCCTACACTACCTACATTTTCTTCTCTTTTTTTTTTTTTTTGGTACCAGGGATTAAACTTAGTACACTGCCTACATTTGCCCTGTGTTAGATCAGTCTTAGATTACATGAAAGTGAACTCATTTTTTAAAGACTGTCTTCATTATTTTACTATTACCCCAGAACTAGCATGAACTAATTGGTGTGTTTTATTTTAAAATATGTTCCAAATCAAATCAGTAGTACTTGAAAATTCCTAGCTTTATCAGTATTGTGGAATTTGAGGAGGTGGTTTTGGGAAGTACTGCAGTTGTTTTGAATTCCTAATTGCAGGGATATCTTGTTTGAAGTATTGTGTGGTCTTATATCACACTGCTGTGGGAGGGGCTGCTAGCCTCATCAGACATTGGTATAATTGCTTTGTTTTCATTGTGTACCTTCACCTAGCCTTTTTCTTTTCTTCCTTCCTTCTTTTACTCTTTTCTTTGAAACAGGGTCTCACTATGCAATTCAGGCTGGCCTTGAGCCCAGCCTGGTCTCCAACTTGCAATGGTCCTCCTGCTTCAGTCTCCCCGAGTGCTGGGATTGCAGACATGCATTTCCTTGCCTGGCCTCAGCCCAGCCTTTCAAACTTTGAAGTAGAGCCTGTCTTTGTTTGATCTCCTTACTAATCTGATTTTGTTACTATTTGGGGAATAATCTCTTTTGTTCTTATCTCTCTTCTGGGTAGTCTCCTAGACATGAAGGTATAGGCTGTGGATTGTGGCATATACCTTACTTAATTCTATTCTGCACTATGAGATCTGAGGCAGACCAGATTTGGAGTCCAGCCTTAGTCTTACTAGGTTCACACCCCAGAACCATAGAGAACAATGAGAGAAAAGATTACAAAGATTTAGATACCTATCCTGTCCAAACAAAATTTTGGCAGATTAGATTAAGAGACATACAGCTTTTTATCCTTGTATATGATAGTGTTTGTGCTTCTGTGTGCTAATTAGGTCTGTGGTATTAGTGTTCACAAGTTGAGACCGTTCTGGACATGGTGTGCATACCTGTAGTCCTTGCACTCTGGGAGGCTGAGGGAGAAGGACTGCACATTGAAGCCAGCTCGGGTAATTTAGTGATTTAGTGAGATCCTATCTCAAAATAAAACTTAAGCTGGGCAAGGTGGCACACACCTATATACCCAGCACTCAGGAGCTTGAGGCAGGAGAATCATTTCAAGTTGGAGGCCAGCCTGGGCTACAAAGTAAGCGCAAGGCCAGCCTGAACTGCATAGTGAGACCCTGTCTCAAAAAGAAAAATGAATTTTAAAAAGGGCTAGGGATGTAGATTAGTACATAGGCACTGGGTTCATTCCCCAGTATGGCAATAAATAAATAAAATAACAATACAAAAAAAATTGTTTATTTCAAGTATAGTAGTATACTGAATGCCTGTAATCCTGGCATTCAGGAGGCAGAGGTTGGATAGTGAGTTAAAAGGCTGAGTGGCATTGAGCGATCCTGGCTCAAAAAAACTGTCCAAACCAAAAGGACTTAGGCAGCAAAGTACACTACCAAGAAAGTGAAAAAATAATCATAGAGTGAAAGATACTTTATAATTCATGTATCTGATAACGGATTAACATTTAGAATATTATATAAAGAACTGTTAAAAGTCAATTAAGGAAAAAAAAAGGGGGGGGGCCGGGGAGATGGCTCAGTGGAATAAGCACTTCCCTGGCATGCTCAAGGGCCTGAGTTCAATCCCCGGTTCTGCAAAAAAAAAAAAAAAAAAGTCAATTAAGGGCTGGGGAGATAACTCAGAAGTGCCTGTCTGGGAAGCACAAGGTCATACCTTTGATTCCAAGTACCAAAAAAAAAAAAAAAAAAAAAAAAAAAAAAAAGAAAAAAAAAGGAAAAGAAAAGAAAGAAAAAGTCAATTAAAAGATATATAACCTAATTTAAGATTGGGCAAAGGATTCCTCAGTAGATATTTCTCCAAAGAAGTTTCATACGCCCCCCCCCCCAGGCCCGCTGAGCCAGAGTCCAGGCGTGGTAGTGCACACTGGTAATCCCAGCACTAGTGAAGCCGAAATCAGGAGGATCACTACGAGTCTGAGCTGCATAATGAGACCCTGCCCCAGAAAAAACCCACAAAACAACCACAACAACAGAATGTCAAAGAAGTTTCACAGAAGGCCACACATGCAAAGACACTCAACATCATTAGTCATCAGCAGAGAAGACCACCATGGAATCCCACATCCCACCCTTTAGAAACCAAAAAGATGGATAATAATAAATGTTGGCCAGGATGTGGAGTCACTGGACTCTTCATACATGGTGGAGTGAATATAAAACAGTGCAGCTGCTTTGGCAGATAGTTTGGCAGTTCCTTGGAAAGTTAAACATAGAGTTACCGTGACCTCGCATATTCAATTTGAGAAATGAATCTGCCCAGGAGAGTTGAAAACATCCGTGCGAGAAACTTTTACACAAATGTTCTTAGCAGTATTACTCATAATAGCCCCCAAATGAAAAGATGAATGTTTATTATCCAGGAAACCAAAGGAGATATATCCCTATGGTGGAGTGCTATTCAGCTATAAAGAAGAATAAATTACATCAATGAAACTTGGAAGTATTTCAAGTAAAAGAAGCCACATGTGGTCATATATTACATGATCCCACGTATTTGAACTGTTCAGGATCAGCAAGTGCGTGGAGAACAGACAGTAGTCTCATGGTTGCCAGGCCTGGCAGGGAGGTGGGAATGGGGAACGACTGGTGCTGAGTACAAGTTCCTTTCAGGGAATGATGAGAATGTTCTGGATGTAGGTAATGGTGATAGTTGCCCAGTCTTTGAATATTTGATGAGCATTGTGTTGTAAACTGTAAAGGGATGAATTTTGTGGTATGTGAATTATATGTCAATTTGAAAAGGAAGAAAAGTATGTAAATACTCCTGATAATGTAGAAAGAAGATAACGTAATTTAGAAAACAGGCACAAGATACCAAGTGGCATTTTATAGTCGTAACCCTTGGCAGTTAACTTGAGGGCTGTGTGCCAGGCCTTAAGTGTTATATAATAAAAGCTTGCTTATGTGCTCTTACGTGAGCACTGGGCTAGCATGCAAACTTGGGAGCCATTTCTGTTCACCACACTGCCCTGTGGCAAAGCCACACCACTCCTTTGTGGGTCTTTGGTTTTATTTCTTTATTTTTATTTTTTTAATGTATTTGTTATAGGGTCTCACTATGCAGTTTGGACTCATAGTGATCCTCCTGTTTTCAGCCTTCCCAGTGCTGGAATTACAGGCATGTGCCACCATGCCTGGTCTCGGTGGCCTGCTTGGTGTGCCCAGGGGCAGGGCCAGCGTGGCATGTGGTGCCAGGTTTCGAACTCTGGTCCATGTCTTGCCAAAGCAGGCACTTAGTCCACTGAGCTATGTCACTGGCCCCTTGCAGGTCTTTGTGTGGACACTTGGTTGCACAGGGCTTATCCATCTATACCATGCCTATTTTTGTCCTTTGTAGATCCATTAATGAGATGAAAAAGTTGGAGGAAGTGTCAAGTGTATTTCAGAGCTCTGGGGTTGAGCGCCGCCTTCCAGAACCAAAATCCCAGACAGAAGAGGATGAAGACTCGAAGGTCAGAGAGCAGCCGTGGGAAATGGTGATGGACAAGAAGCACTTCAAGTTGTGGCGGCGCCCCATCTCGGGCACCCACCTGTACCAGTACAGAGGTGAGCTGTCCCAGTGGCTGCTCCTCGCACTGCTCTAGTGGCTTCTTCCATTGGGGTGGCTTCTTGGGAAATCTGCCGTGTTATTTTTTTATTGTTGTGTTCCACGTGCACATGACCAGCTTCTCAGTTTTTTCCTGTCTGTAGCTCATCCTTGTCTTTGTCCAGCATGGCTTCTGGCTTCTTTGCCTGCTCCTGGCAATCTGCCAGTGCTGTAGAAGTGCAGCACAGCTAGGCGGTGGGAAGGGTTAGGGTGTGGCAAGTGTCCTTTATTCTTTCTTGTCATTCCAGTTTTTGGAACCTACACAGATGTGACACCTCGGCAGTTCTTCAACGTTCAGGTAATTTCTGTTCAGATTTGAAAGCTTCCCAGCAGGCCACTTACCACTGTCCACACAGCTTTTGGGTAAACTTGATGTCTGTGTGTGCGTGTGTAGTGCTGGGATTGACCTCTGTGTGTAGATATTTGACTTATTATTTCTTTGTTTCTACATGGATGAGACTTGATTTTACCCACCGCTGCCACAAACCCCTGACTGTTGGGAAAATAGAAGGAACTGAATGCTTCATGTTTTTTTTTATAAGGCTTTGTTGTTTTTCTCTGTATAAGTCTTTCACTATATATTTGCTCAAACTAGCTGTGCTGTCTTCTTTGGTACTGTGATGCCATTGTTAAAGTCAGTGATGCAGTGATTTAATGCAGTCTTGTTTGTGTTCTGGTTTTACTAGTTGACCTTCATAGCATTTTCCTGTTCAGTACAGACCCAGACTGGGTTACATCTAATTATTATCTTTAATTCCTTTAATGTAGAACGTTCCCTGTCAAGGCATTTATTGGGCAGAGTTGAATATCTGTTCAAGGACTATGTTTCTTCTTGGGGTTAGGAACATATTTAAAGCAAAGTGAGAAGGGGAGGTGGGACCACCCAGAAATGTTCTGGTATTTGTTTTGCCAGGCTTTCAGTAATGGGTCTGTTGATTGTAAAACTGTTAGTAACATGCAAGTGCACCTTCACGTAAGCCCTGAATTATATCAGTCTGTATTGTATTTTTGTTGGTTGGGATGTATAGGATGTATCTGTCTATGAAATTTCTCGGTTACTAGTGGCATCAGACATTTACAGTATAGGCCAGAGATACAGCTCAGTGGCATAGTGCCTTCTTCACAAACTCAAAGTCCCAAGTTCAGTTCCCAGTACAAAAAAAAAAAAAAAAGAAAATAAATTTACAATATGCTGTTTATATATTTTGTATAGAGTGTCCACACATACTTTGGAGTTTGTTTTGTCTGTTTAAGGCTGTTTAGAATAATAGATATCACCAAATGTTGTCTTCCTCAGGTGTGTCTATTATAGTATTGTTTTTTTCTTTGGTTTACGCCTCCCCCTTTTGTCCTTTTGAGACAGGGTCTCCTATGCAGTTCAGTCTGGCCTTGAGCTCACTTTGTAGTCCAGGCTGGTCTTCAATTCACAAGGATCCTCCTGCCTCAGTCTCCTGAGTGCTTGTGTTACTAACATGCCCTACCATGCCTGCCTCCTTTTTTTTTTTTAGATAGGGTCTCATTATGTAGTTTATGCTGGCCTTGAGCACATTATGTAACCTGGGCTGGCCTTGAACTTGTGGGGATCCTCCTGCCTCAGCTTCCCAGGTTATGGAGTTACAGGCATGTGTCACCATGCCTGACTACCCTTTTTTTTTTTTTTTTTTTTGGCGGAACTGGGGATTGAACTTGGCCCTTGTGCTTGCCAGACAAGGACTTATTCTACTGAGCTGTCTCCCCAGCCTGCCCTTTTCTTTTCTTTTTTTTATTTTATTTGTGTGTGTGTGTGTGTGTGGCCAGCTCAGCCCACCAGGCGGGGCTGGCTGGCATGTGGTGCTGGGGGATTGAACCACGGTCCCTGTGCTTTGCTTAGCTTGTTCTACGTAGGTGCTTTAGACCACTGAGCCATCTCACCAGCCCCTGCCCTTTTCTTTTTAACAGTCTGGTTTCAGTGGTGAAAGGATTTGAAGTTGGCTGGAATAAACACAGTCATGCTACTCACGGTTGGGCAGTGCTGGGTCTGATCATTGTTTCCCATCAGAAATCCAAGTGTTAGGGCTGGGGAGATGGCTCAGTAGAATAAGCACTTCCTTGGCAGGTGCAAGGGCCTGAATTCAATCCCTGGTTCCACCAAAAAAAAAAAAAAAAAAGAAAAAAAAAAAGAAAAAAATCCAAGTGTCTAGAGAAGCTTTCTACATTTCTTGTTCTGGATCTTCCTGGTCATCATAGTCTTCTCTTCCACAGCTGGACACTGAGTATAGAAAAAAGTGGGATGCCCTGGTGATCAAGCTGGAGGTGATTGAGAGGGATGCAGTGAGTGGTTCTGAGGTTCTTCACTGGGTGACCCATTTTCCTGTAAGTATCTTTACTTCTAGTTTTGTTTCTGGTGAGTCCATAGATGCAGAACCTAATCCTCTCCTTTACTTCTTCAGTATCCAATGTATTCTCGGGATTATGTTTACGTTCGGCGGTACAGCGTGGATCAGCAAAACAATGTCATGGTGCTGGTGTCACGGTAGGTGTGGCTGCTGTGTCCCTTACCTGGTAAACTGTCTTAGTGTGCTTTTCACTCTCCTCAGGCTTCCCAGCCCTGGGGCCCTCCCCAGCCCAACTCCATAAGAGGAGTGGTCCAGGATGGTGAAAGACGTACAGGCGTCCTTTCATCCCCTTTGGATACTTAGGATTGAATCCCTGGCTTTCACACTGAGTTGCATCTCCATCCTTTTGTTACTATTTTGATTCAGAAATGGGATCTTGCCGAGTTGCACTGGCTAGGCTCAAATTTGTGATCCTCCTGCTGACTCCATCTCCCAGAATTCTCAGACTAATAAGCTTTTATTTAATGAAAAGTTTTCTTTAGGAAGCCAGGTGTGATGGCTAACACCTGTAATCCCAGGACTCAGAGGCTGAGGCAGGAGAATGATAGCGAGTTGGAGACCAGCCTGGGTAAAAAAGTGAGGTCAAGGCCAGCCTGAGCTGCATAGCGAGAGCCTGTCTCAAAAAGAAAATTTTACTTTGGTTCCTTAATGTTGGTAACTATAAAAGGAAGTCGTCTTTGCCATATGGTGTGGTGAGCTGTATATTACCAGTACCGAAGTGTTCAGAACTCAGCTTGTAGTCATTGTCCTAGTGACACTTGGGTTTCATTTATTTTAAAAGTAGAGTGATTATCTTAGTCATAGAGTGATTATCTTAGGTCCCGCCATCACCCTTAGCTCTCAGCCTTCTGTGTAGATTTTACTGAGCTGTGGCTTCGCTGTTCCTCCTTTTTAGTGCCGTGGAGCACCCTAGCGTACCAGAGTCTCCGGAATTCGTCAGGGTCAGATCCTATGAATCCCAAATGGTTATCCGTCCCCATAAGTCATTTGACGAGGTGAGTTTACTTCATCTGAGAGATAATGAGTCATGGCTATGGTATTTTTTCAAAAAATTCCTTTTGTCTGACCTGGGCCAGGCGAGCTGGTTATGGCAGGAACAGCTGGAGCTTCTTGAGACTCACTGCAGGGCCCCAGCCTCAGTGTCTGGCTCAGAAGGTTTAGGGTGTGGCTCAAGAGGTTCCATCTTTGAGAAATATGCAGGTAACGCTCAGGCATACGGTCGAGTCCCTGCTGTAGAGTTGAGAGTGTCGCTGGAAGATGGGCAGGGTCAGGTAGTGATCTATGGCTGCCTTGGTGTGAGAAGCAGGAGGCTGTAGCCACTGACGTTGAACATGCATCGCAGCCTTTCCAGGAGCCCAAGCAAGTACCTCCTGCCAGCGTTTCACTGCAGTGGGCAAAGCACTGCAGACGTCTCTATACCCCTGCTTTTCTGTCTGTAAAATGGGAGAGTTAGACTTCAAAATTCTGACTTCCCTTAGAAAAGAATACTTGTTTTCACTTAGTAGGGTATTTTGTGTTCTAACTCTCTCCACCTCTTTCCCTCTCTCCCTCTCCCCCTCTCACCACAGGGCATCCCTCAGGGGATTTTTTTTTTTTTTTTAGTAGTACAAATCTATAATCTGATCTACAATCTGTAGATCAGACTCTACATAGTCTGTTTTTAGCTTCCCAAGCACTGGGGTAATAGATGTACACCACACGCCCAGTCTCAATCGCCTGTCTCAGCACTACCCTGGGCCGGGCCGGCACCAGCTCGGCAGGCTGGGGATTGAACCCTGGCCACTGCTGCGCTCTGCCTAAGCAGGCGCTTTAATCCGCTGAGCTCTCTGGCCAGCCCGCCATCTCTATTGTGTGTATACATTGATGCCAGTGGTTGCCAGTAATAGTTATGCTTTACTTTATAATGTCTTCGTTTCTTCCCATTGTTTTTGTTTTTGTTTACTTTAAAGCTATGTGGGTTGTGTTTTTTCTAGTTTCCTTCATTAAGCTGTTTTATGCACCTGAAAGGATTCTGGCAGAGAATGTGGGTGACCTGAGACAACATAATGCTTGACTTCTTTTACAGATTGGATAATCTTTGTGTTTACTTGTATGCTATTTTTAGAACTCTGTTTTTCTTTTT